AATGCTTGTATCCTACAGAAAATTTCATTATGAATTTTCCACTTTAATGAAAGAGCAAAATTGCATTTGAAAACATTTATTTCTCTAAAGTATGAGTTCACTTTATGGCTTTAAAGAGGTAAATACTTGAATTTCTAATTTTTCTTTTCATATTGAATAGTATACATAGGGTTGTTTGCATTTTTTGGAAGATAGAGATTTAAGATATGCAATTCAAAGTTATTAAGAACTGCTCCATTTGGTGACTCAACTACGTTTTGATAGCCTAGGGAAATAAAATCAAGAGGCAAAGAACAAACATTTTAAAGAGGTAATTTTATCTACCATGTGCTCCTGGCTCTAGGATATGTTTGCTTTCTTCTATTGGCTCCTAAAACTATGAGCAGACATTTTTACTTAAAATCTAATAACCAAAATTGACCTCTTCTTATACTCATTTTTTTCTTTTATCTGTAATCTACTAAATGAATATGCTTGAAAACCATTTGGCAAAAGTGCCTCTATTCCCAAGACTTATGCCAAGAGAAACAGACATTATTAATAGATCATGCTACTCTTTTCCCAGTGAGCTTGAACAAAGTGATTCTTCTTCATCAATAGTTACAAGTACCCACTAGAACTTTTTGGAATTAACATAGTAAATTAATGATATTTTATGTCTTGAGTAGTGTCTCAGCTGTTGATACACTCTTTATATTTTTAAAATTACATTTATTTATTTGTGTGTATGTATGTTTGTGAGCACACACTTGCTATTGCACACATGCTGTCAAAGAACAACTTGTGGAAGTCAGTTGTAGCTTATTTTTCAAAGATCAGACACTTGATCATTGGGAAAACAATCACCTTGACACTTTCCTGTCCCATTGAAGAACACATCTCTCACTGGTCATTCCCTGGGGACTTGAGCTCTGGGGCAGCTGATATAAAAGTACATTTGTGTTCTATTCAGGGCATTTACTAACTGAGCAAGCAGTTTTTTTCTAGGTAAGAGAAGGAGTGTTCTTCACTTATAATCTGTTTTAAATTTTTTTTTTCAAATTAAAGTATAATCCTGAATATTTAAATTTAAGAGCAAAATTGTATTAAACAGAATTGCATTGTGAATTGTATCAAATGCCTTCATAATAAAGAAATGAAAAATTATACAGAATTCCTTACATGTTTTAGTCAGTAGAACCATAAATTAGAAGATGGTTTTAATTTTCTTTGTGAGACATGACAATTAGAATAAGATTATGGATATATTCTCTTTATGTTTCAATTTTTAACTTAGATTTCTTATGTAGTTATTTAAATCTTACATTTGCTTTATTGGTCAGACATTTAGAAGTAATTTTAGTCATTACGTTAAATTGTATAGCTAATATGAACTTAATATAATTCAACTAAAAATGAAACCTGAATGTTTTCTGCCTTAACTTTTAAGAATTCATTTTTCCAGTTATGCATTTTGCAATGAAGAAACAGTATGATCAGATAGAAAATGAGCAGTGTGCAAGCAGAGGGGTCTAGCCTGGAACGCTGCTTTATCTACAGACAATGATGTGACAATGTGAACAGGATGCTTAATTAAGCCTCAGAATATTATGCTACATTAGAATACTCTGAAGAATAATAAAATAATGCATACACAATTGATAAATTCTTAGAATGCTTTAATAATCTTCAGAGGGTACTATTATAAGTTCCGTCTTGACTTTAACATTTCCAAGATTGTTGTCATGGATTGATCATGATCATCAAGAAACTATTATCTACGTTTCATAAATTTATCATAGTGTAGTTAAAATTATGTGTGAATAAATTTTGCATTTGTGTCTATATTATGTAAAATTTTTTATACATTTCTAATATTCTTGAAAAATCATTTATACTATCTTTAAATACAAGTTAACAAAAATAGCCTATCAGTGTAAATCTTGGGGAAAAAAAAAAGCTAGCTATCATGATTTTCCCTGTCGTGTCTAAAGTTCTTATAAAGAAGTGCACCAATATTCTAATGAAAAGTGATCAGAAATAAAACTTAATTCAGAAACCATATTCTTATTTTTCGTCCAAGATCAAACCACTATGAATTATTAGAAAATTGTTTTGATAAAAATACTAGAATAATTTAAGTGTACATATTATTAGTGTACTAGCATATTCCAGGGGAGAAAGTGTTTCAGCAACACAGTTTCACAGATCTTATGTAATAACACAATAAGCCATTGCATTTAATTTAAAATGTAGACATTATGATATGTTATTTTATTGTTGGAGGTTCACTAATTTGTTCAATTTTTAAATTAAAAAATCTTTTTTATGCTGTTAACATTAAAACTTTGGTTCAGTGAAATATAGTTTAATGTATCATAAAATTTCACTGGGAAATCATCTGTATTCATGTTGTTGAAGACAAATTGTGAATGTTTTAATGGTAATTATTATTTGGTGACAGCCAGTGTGAACTTGGAAAATGCAATCCTTCTAGATGCATTTTCCAAGTTCACACTCTGTCAGCAGGGGCTATATGAGATTTTAATATCAGGTTTTAGACTATGAATATAATTCTTAAACTTCCATAAGATTGCTTTTTCTTAGATTCTAGAGGAAAAAGCAAAATCTTAGAATTGCAATGTAGTCAACATTCCTCAAGTATATACCAGTCAAAATGTACTTTGTAATAAATTCATTCAAAAAAATAGCAATAAATTGTGAAAGCTTATCTGCACAATATTTTTCACTCTTCCTCCTTTTACTTGAGTAATTCTTGTTTGTCCCTACATCATCAATAATTATTTCTGTATAATTTCTATGACCAACATTGAGAGGAAAGTAAAAGGGAAAAGGAGAGAATTGAGAGATAGCAGGAATTTTTTAAATGTGTTTTTCTATGTCCATACATATATATTGGACATATTTGTAAAATTTATTGATGACTTTATAAGTTCATTTTAACCCATTTTTTTTAATTTTGTGCATTTCATATACTACATCTTAATCCAATTTAGACCCTACCCCCTATAGCTCTCTCACCAGATTTCAGGTATTCTGTCATATATGTTAAGTCCTATCTGATCAAGTATTGTAGTCAGATGTCCCTCAGTTCAAGTTCATCCACTGGAGTCTAGTCAGACTATCTAGACTATTAAAGAAGATCTACTGTCCCTCACTACAAGCTTATTTTAAAATATTTTTAAAATTTATTACTTTTATATGTATGCATGTATTGCCTGCATGTAGGTAAGTGCCTACAGAGGTCAGAAGAGGCTGTCGGATCCCCCGGTACTGGAGCTACAGACAGATGTTAACTGCCATGTGGGTGCTGGGTTTCGAACCCAGGTCTTCCTCAAGAACAACCAGTGTTCTTAACCACTGAGCCATTTCTCCAGCCCCTATAAGCTATTTTTAAAATAATTATCCAAGCAAAATTATACATTAAAATATTCTCATGCATTATCGTTTTAAATAGTTGAATTTTGAGCACATTATATGTATTTGCTGCAGAATGTTCATAGTAGCAAACCAGCATATTTTTGTTCTATATCTGTAGTCACACAGTTATAAAAGTTTTTTTTTATATTCTAAAAAAAAGCATTCATCTAGATTTTTGAAGACGTATCTGGTATACAATGTACCTACGTGGCTTCCTTCTTTCTAAAGTTATTTAAACACTTTTATTCTTCTAACTGCTACCTGTGTTGTTTTATTTGGCAAAAACTTTACATGTTTCACAATATAAATGTAAATTATTTCTCATGACTGAATTAATTTTGCACCTATGTATGACAGGCTCTAAATATTTTTTGAACTCTTGGTCTGTGGAATGTTGAAGGAATACAAAGTCACTGCACAAAAATTATCACATGGCATTTTAAGAGATCCAAAATTTCATGTCAGTAAATGAGATTTCCAGTGACGATATGATTGATTTTAGCTTCATTTTCATTTTATTTTATTCAATTTGATTTTGATTGTGCCCCTTTTCCCCTCATATTTACTGAGTGAGAATGATAACAGGACAAATATCCAGAAATCATACACTGCTTTGTGACAAGAATAGTAACATTATTACTTTAGCAACCGTTTCATCAAGAATTTTATTGGCTATCAGTGGTTTCTTTTTCATAGTCATTTAAGAAACTCCACAAGTGGGTAATAGTGCATTAAAACAATGGCCGTGATTAATTTTTGGCTG